TAATTATATAATAATCATACTCATAATTTCATCCTGACGTAGGATTTAAGGTTGTCATCCAATTTCTTTTTTGATTGGTAAAAGAAAAACCCCTTAGGTGTAGCCTCAAATGATATCTATAAAAAGAACGGTTTCAAAGTGTTTGTTGGAATAATCGATCAAATCAAATGTTAAAATATCACAAAAGAAAATGCAAGTTGAGTTTAGAATCTTTTCCCATTTACCAAATACAAAGGTAATCATTTTGATTTTCCTTTACACCAAGGCTTTCTTCTTAAGTTCTTGTACAATTTTAGAACAGCTTTGGCATCTAAAGCAATTAAAGAAAACAGTTCCTTCCTGGGTGCCTTGCCTATTTCTTGAAACAAAAACATCATTTTGCCTTTTCCCCCAAGAATACTATTATTATTCATTAAATATTAATATGCTTCATTTACAAGCATAAAAGGTAAAAGAAAATGGAAAGGAAACAATTTGTGATTTTATAGATTCTTATCACTACAAATTAGAACTATGAACTTGATGTATTTCAATAGCCAAAAAAAAAAAAAAAATCAACCTTCATGTGTTTCTAGGAAAGCATGTGACAAATACACAACCATTGTCCCCTGCACGTGTATTATCGTTTTATTTCAGGCTTTCGCATTCTCATTCCATTATTGCTCGTGGCTTAAGCCCTTGACCATGTCTTCTCCACCAAGCAAACTCTCTTTTTAACATAGGATGCAGATTTCTCCACCAAGCAAAATCTTCTTTTTTTTTAATTTTTTTTATATAACATAGAATGCAGAAGACTCACCATTTACAACCAAATAGTTGTCAATTTATAGATAATTGCATACATATTTCTAAGTTACACCGCAATTTACAGACCAAAAGTCCCCACTAATAGGCAATAACCAAGAAAGACAAACTTGTCCCTGGACATTTCTTATTCATTAGCACACTAAATTAAGCATTACATAGACCCTCTCTCTTTTTACCCTGCTGAATATCTGCCTAAAATTTGGTGATCCCATCTCAGATTAGTACTGAAACAGGTCTGGAGAAGCCATGATGGGCTGATTCAAGTAGGCCATGTTCAAGGGGTTAAGGAAGCCATCAACAGGCTCAATGAAAGAAGAACTTGTGTCCTCACAATTAAAGGCAGCTTGGCCTGCATTCAGGACAGTGATGATCTCATTCAGGGACTGCAATCTGTGGTTTAGTTCCCCAGCCTGAGCTCTCAGCACAGAGTTCTCTGCCTCAATGTTCAGGAAATGCTGAGTGGTGATGTTTATGCTTGTGATGATCTGGTTGTTCTCCTCCCTCAGTTGTGCCACCTGTTCCATCAGATCATTCAAGTGCTTCTGCTTTCTCATCCTTGACCTCCTGGCAGATTCCCTGTTGGATATCATCCTCTTTCTCTTTCTCTGATCCATCAGTACCTGCAAATCTTCCTCAGAGCCTGAGTTCTGTATCTGAGGTGACCCTGAACCTGAAGATGCGCCACTAGAAGAAGCCATGGAAATTGCACCTGATTCTTGCAATCTCAAGTTTCAAATTTCAACAAAAAGAATAAATCAAGAGGGATAGATAATAGCAGGACCTAGAAAGAAAGAAATAGAACTCAGACAACGCAGATGGTAATAACTAGAACACAGACAATGCAGATAGTAGTAAACTAGTAATATTACTAATAGATCATACTAATTAGCAGATTTCAAGGTGAAAATCATGAAACATAGTACAACCAGTAGAGGAAAACAACTGAGAAGGATTGAACAAGATGGGTCATGCGCCTGAATGTAGAATTTATTATAAACCCAGAAAGGAGGATTTCACTGAGAATTGGAAACATGAATCTCAAACATCAAGAACAAGATATTGAGCATCAAGATGTCCTGAAAGGAAAAAAAATGCCAAAATGAAACAAAACTGTCACTTTATGTTTGAGGAAATGCCTCAACCACACCAACACATAAAAGGAAGCTAAGAACTTGAAAGAAAATGAGAGAAAAGTGAAGATCTTGAATATAGGTAATGGGTTTTGAATCCCAAAGGACCAAACTTTGATTGAAAACAAAAGGACCCAGATAGATCAAGATCAAACAAGAAGAGCAGAGAAGATGGGCATGAAAATATCTTAAAAGAGAAACTAAAAAAGAAAGAAGCAAAGTGGAAGAGAGAGCTTGCAGGAAATGTCAGGGAGAATTTATAGAAAGAAAAACGGACCAACAAGTTGATGTAAATACATAAGGCTTGTGGCAGATCTAGCAGGATTATGATTATTCATCAGGTGGTTCTCACGTGACTCTCTTCACGTGTGAGTTATTCACGTGTGAGTCACATGGTGGATGATGTTTACCCTGTTAAGTAGTTTTAACTTTCTATTTTTTGAAATTCATAATATTTAGAAGAGACTTGTTAGATAGGTGTATTGTATTAAATTGTAAAATAAATTATTAAATAAAATTTTTTTAATATTAAAGAATTTATTTTTATTAAATAATTAAATTTATTACGTTTAATGTAATTTAATCAGCATAATACTTCAAAAATAAAAGAAAAATAGTGAAAAAATAAATGATGTGAATATGATGGAGAAAAATGAAATCCCATCCACAAAACAAAATAATAAGTTCGTTGGAAAAGTTGATGGGACATGTGCGCTAGCTGGATGGAGGACGGGGAGACAACGGCGTCCACAACTGCCCAGATATACAGCTGGGAAGTGGGAACCAACTTTTCATCTCGACTCACGGTGGTAATAGTGGAAAAATGTTTTTTTCATAACTTGGCTCAAGCCCAGCTCCCAGAAAAAAATGGAAAAAATAACTACAGTTCCTTGCTCAGCTTTTGTTCGGTTTTAGAAAATTTTCTCTCTCTTTAAGGTTAAATGTAAATTTTGATTTTTTAATTTTAAAATTTTATATAATTTTTACTTTTTAATTTTTATAAGTTGAGATTTATCATAATTTTTAGAGAACTGACTCACAAATACTAATATTT